TGTTAAAGATCTTCTCTGGTACAGAGAGGACACAAATGTGGAGGTAAAATTAAGTGTTTAAAATGTGTCATATTTTTACTACAACCTCAAAGGTCGATTCTAATCTTTAACATAAACATATCAGGCTGTTTTTATTCCCAGTGTACGCCTCAGTTACAACCGTTCAGAATTGAACGATCTAAACTGAATCTAAGAACTTTTTACAACTTGAGAGCATGAATCAAAAGTGCCTTAACAGAACATCTAAACCTTTTAGGAAGGTGTCGGGTCACATTCTGTGAATCTTGATTAAATTCTTATACCTGAAACTTAAAAATATATATATATATATATATATAAACGTATAAAAAATATTAAAGGGTTCTTTAAAATCTAAGGGAAAAAATATTTATAAAAAGATTTAAAACATAACAAAAAAATAAAATAATATTGGAAAGATGCATAGGTTACTGACGAACCCAAGAACAAAGAAAACTGGGACTTTAAATTTCTATGCTGCTTCAAGCATCTTTAAAAGGGGTAAAGCAACACCTTTCTAAATTATTCTACACCCATTTATGCAAATATTCTTCATAATTTTTGTCCTAAATTTTGAATTATGATGTTCTAGCCAGAAAAGTACAGAAGTTAGCTCAGCTGCTAATTTCTGCTGCAAATAAACAGAGCTGTAAGTAAAAGGACATTTGTTGAGACAGTCATGTTCTCAGCCTGTTCATAACGTATTCACAACCTGCTCTCAACCCGTTCATAACCTGTTTATAACACTTTCACAACCTGTTCATAATCTGTTCATAACCTGTTCATACCCTATTCTCTACCTGTTTATAACACTTTCACAACCTGTTCATAATATGTTCATAATCTGTTCATAACCTGTTCACAACCTGACTCAACCTGTTCATAACGTGTTAACAACCTGTTCATAACCTCTTCATAACATGTTCACAACCTGTTCATAACACGTTCACAACCTGTTCATAACCGGTTCACAACCTGTTCATAACCTGTTCATAACCTATTCTCAACCTGTTCACAACCTGCTCTCAACCTGTTCATAACCTGTTTATAACTTCTACATAACCTGTTCATAACCTGTTCACAACCTGTTCATAACATGTTCATAACATGTTCTCAACCTGTTCATAACTTGTTCACAACCTGTTGATAACCTGTTCACCACCTGTTCATAACGTGATCATAACCTGATTATAACTTGTCCACAACCTGTTCATAACCTGTTCACAACCTATTCATAACCTGTTCAAAACTTGTTCGTAACCTGTTCACAGCCTGCTTTTAAAGTTTTAATAACCTGTTCATAATATTTTCACAATCTGTTCATATCCTGTTGATAAATTGTTCATAACTTGTTCATAACCTGTTCATAACCTTTTAACAACCTGTTCACAACTTGTTCATAACCTGTTCACAACCTGTTCATAACCTTTTAACAACCTGTTCACAACTTGTTCATAACCTGTTCACAACCTGTTCACAGCCTGTTTTTAACGTGTTAACAACCTGTTCCTGTTCACAACTTGTTCATAACCTGCTCATAACCTTTTTCAGAGCCTGTTTTTAAAGTGTTAATAACCTGTTCATAACATGTTCACAACCTGTTCATAATCTGTTCACAATCTGTTCATAACCTGTTCATAATCTGGTCACAACCTGTTCATAACCTGTTCATAACTTGTGCATATCCTGTTCACAACCTGTTCATTACCTGTTCATAATCTGTTCACAATCTGTTCATAACCTGTTCATAACTTGTGCATAACCTGTTCATAATGTGGTCACAACCTGGTCACAACCTGTTCATAACCTGTTCATAACCTGTTCACAACCTGTTCACAACCTGTTCACAATCTGTTCATAACCTGTTCATAATCTGGTCACAACCTGTTCATAACCTGTTCATAATTTGTGCATAACCTGTTCACAACCTGTTCATAATCTGTTCACAATCTGTTCATAACCTGTTCATAACTTGTGCATAACCTGTTCACAACCTGTTCATAACCTGTTCATAATGTGGTCACAACCTGTTCATAAGTAGCTGTCGATAACAGGGGAGCTGTCCCATCATTATCAGTGAGTCAAGCAGGATACTATAAAACTAATGTTGCATCTTTAAAATAAGAAACATCTGGTGACTTGAAAGTGTGTATATGAAGCACTTTAATAAAAACTATATTTTCTTTTTATGAAGCATTTATATTAAGAACTTTATTACTTAAAAGGCTGGGTTTTAAAATTTACAATTATTTATAGATGTGCTATAAACACATTAATATGTTAAGTTTTGTAATTTGACAGAATGCCTGAAATGTTGTAGCTTATACTTTTCTACTGAACATATTTGAATTTGTCCTAAAATGAGGTTTGAGCCAAACACTGAGAAATGGCTATCAACAGGTGATTCTGAGTGTAAATCTTATTTGTTTCATTTACTGAGGATGTTGGGGTTGCGTTTCTAAAGAAAACAGCTCCTAACCAACGAGTCAAAAAGGTCTTGAACTAAACTAATAATAAACAATCATAAATAAATATTCTAAACTTTTGGATGTTTGTGGAGCTGCTTTCAGAGGTGCTGTGCGCTGCAGGCGGAGCAAACACAGAGAGGGGCGGTGTTGCTCTCAGATGAAAGTTGGATGAAATAAAAGAGTCAATTTAATCTGCTTGAAGAGATTTAGGAGTTGGAGAGGAGGAGCGCTAAGGTAGGGGGGTGCAGAGGGAAGAGAAGGGTGGCCCCGGCCCAGGACCCCATTGTGAAGCTGCGCTCGGGGCCAGTCTAGGCTTCTCCGGGGAGAACATTGACCCCCATTCACCAAAAATACCCTATAATGCACTCCCATAGTCATTAAAACGAAACATGGCACAATATCCACACCATTTAGAGGAGTTATTAATGATGAAGGGGCAAGGCCGGCCTCATCACAACCAGGACCTGAAGAGAAGTTGGCAGCTTTCAGTTCAAAGTTTTCTGACATGCAGAGAAAAAAAAGTTAATTTGCTTCATGAAAGATTGGCTTCTAGAATTAAAACTAAGAAAAATGCATAAATTTAAACTGTTTCTTCTTGCTTCCTCATGTTGTCAGAAGCCTGAATGTGTTTGTCTGCATAAAACACACCAGATCTGCATAGTGGTCGTTCGGTGAGGCTCCAACTGTAAACTAATAGATTAAAAATGACCAGCTGTCCCCATATTTGGCTAAATGATGTTGAAAATATATATTTATAATAAAATCTATAATATTCAAATATAAATGGTGGTTTTAAACTAACTATTAAGCTGACATTGAATCTCTAACTCTTATCAAATACAAAAATCACCAAACTGACTGAGGAGGAGATGCCTCTGCTTGGGTCGTTCCTTAAAGCGCGTGAGAACACACACCACTGATGAATGACCCCGTTCACGCGCTGAGATGTTCTCTTTTATGGTAAATTCCATTTGCATGTTAGCTAAAATAAAGTTTAAATGATCACTATTATATATTTTTTACATTTGCATTTAACTTTATTTCTTGTCATATTAAACTTGCTTTAAGTTTGGAGTTTCATAAATAAAAGTAAGTAACTGTAAGTATCCCTGCCTGCTTGTTATGAGGAGTTATGGGACTAACTTTGCGCCGGGCCGGGCCCCCATGCCCCGCCGCTCCGCGCCGCGCCGGAGCTTATCTGCATAATTCACCCTTCTTCTGCTGAAACTTTCCTTTCTCCTTCCATTTCTCAGGCTGAATTTTAAACAGCTCGCCTCCTTCTGGAGCCAAAAGCTGTTTCCAAGCCGGCCTTTTGTCCGCGCGCAGCCCGAGCGTGAGCCCCAAATAGACTCGCGCTCCTTTTGTCTCCCAAGTTCATCCGCGAGCTTCCCGTTGTGCGCGCGAGCAGCGTCTTTGGAGATGGAAACCGTTGAACAAATGTTTGAGCAACTCATCTGGGGGACATTTTGTCTCCTCAAACTCCGTCTTTATGTGTCCTCCTCCCCTACCGAATGGGCCGGCGCGCGCAGGCGGACGCGGGTTAAATGCTCACGTGAAAAGTGGAAACTGTTGTAAAAAAAGACTCTGTTCAACTAATGTGGGCAGTTTTCATCCTTTCCTGATACTTTCATGAGTAAAAACTATTTTTAAAAGTCAAAATGTCATTAAGAGCGCCTCGTTGATCATCCACGCCTTTTCCCAGAAAAATATCTGTAAATTCGTGAAGTTTATTAAACTCAAAATATAAAAGGATTATCGTTTCTTTTTTATGTATTTATTTATTTTTATTTATTTATTTATTTATTTATTTATTTATGCTAAAAGTATTAAAATGTAAATGAAAACTTGCAGGATTTAGGCTGTATGAAACGTTCTGGGAAAATAAATCAACATTTTATCTAAACACCTCATTGGGCCTAACGTGGCTGCTGAAATGAGTCCGGCTGTAATTAGACATATGGAGGAAAACTGGAACATTCAGACAGATTTTAGCAAAAAAATGATTTAGTTTTAATCAAAGTTTTATGTTTTATTTCTTCTGAAAACAATAGAGTTGAAGAAATGACTGAGATGGTTTGTTTGTCATGTAAAAACCGATTAATAATAAAACAATTTAAACAACCAGACGCAGTGAGATTTATGTTAAATCATTCATTGGCTTTTATTGCCGTAAAACTTATAAATGCAGAGTTACTGTAAAGGCCATTTACGCATTGAAACCACACACACACACACACACACACACACACACACACACACACACACACACGCACACACACTTTTCCCGCACAACCATCACCTGCTGTTTGATTTACGGTCTGCTCTCATGGGAAAGCTTTAGGGGTCGATAAAGAACTCCTGACAGGATGGCACTCTCTCTCCTCCCACAGCACACACACCAGCTATCCCATAATAACTTATAAATGTTACGACCAACTTAAAAGCAGAATAATTCCTCCGAGATAAATGAACCGCTCAGCAACACAGAAGTTAAAAGACACGTTTTTCACTCACATCTGTCTCCCAGAATTCCCTCGATGCTGTGTTTGGTCCTGCGATCGTTTTCATCCTGCTCCTTCTTCTCCATCTCATCTTCATCCTCCTCTTCCTCGCCTTTCCCCCCGAATTTACTCCTCATGATGCGACTGATGGAGCTCACTGAGATGATTTAAAACCACATTTAAACACGCTTTTAGACACGAACGAATTATTAAAAGGAAAAAAATCTCATATTAAACTTTTCATGTAGGAGTTAAAAACGCCCATAAAAGTGCGTCCACTCCTCCCTCCGCTGCTGTACCTGAAGGAACGGTGTTGCGGTCACATACTCCATCCTTCAGTAATTTATCCCGAATCTCCCAGCTAAACATACCCGGGGTTTCCCGCTTGTACTCTTCTATTCTCCTCTCTACGTCCGGAGATGCTCCCTGCTTCAAAAGTCCAAAAGCAAACGCACAGTTTGCGTCAAACGCAAAGGGACTCCTCTCCATCAACAGGTTGGTTCTACTGAGTCCGGTTACCTTGGGTTTGCTGCCTCCGATGGCCCCGGGTCTGATGGAGCCCGTCTCCTGGTACCGGCACAGGATCTTGGACACGCAGCCGTGGGAGACCCGGAGCTGACGGGAGATGACGCAGGGCCGGATCCCGTGGTGCGCCATCTCCACGATCTTATGTCGGATGTGGTTGGGTAGAGGTCTGCCGTTGATGAAGACTCCGCCGAGCTGGTTGACTCGGCCTTGGCCCAGCGGGGTGGACACTAATAATAATAATAATAATAATAATAATAATAATAATAATAATAATAATAATAATAATAATAATAAATGGGCAGGAATAGACAACAAAAAGTCGCAAGAAGAACTTGAGGAAGGACCTTACTGAGTATTTTATGGGGAAATATGTGAAAATATTTTTTTCAATGTTGGATTAAGTGAAAACAAACATGTGTAAAGTTGTTAAAAATTGAAAAACAGAAAATAAAACACCAACAGTAAGTTGGTCTTTAGTAAAGTATTGTGAAACCAGATTCAAAAGCCTGACTTGGCGGAAGATCGGGTCCGAGAAAAGCCTCAGACCCCGGAGCAGGAGCCCAGGTTCGGTCAGAGGTTTACCTTCCAGAGGGAAGCCGCTGCGGGGGTAGTTCTGGGCTAGCGTGGGTCGCATCATCCTGGGTGCTGACCCCGCCAACGCAGTCATCCCTCCACCCCCCCACGGACGGCGGAAACCTCCTCGTTCACCGGGAGACCGGGCTGTAAAGTCGTGAGGTTCTCTAGAAGTTATACTCTCAATTCGGCTCCTGCTGCCCGGGCACCGTGCCGGGACCGCCGCGGGTCTTTGACCGTGGCGCTAGACGGCGTTGGCGTGGCAGGGTTGCGGGTTTCTGTTGCACCGGAGAGCCGCCGGTGTGGGTTGTTGACACCGGTAACAAAGTGAGAGGCGACCGTGAAAAGTAGCGGAGCTTTTCTCTGCTTGCGTCTGCGCTCCCGCTCTGTGATTGGTCGCGCGGAGGCTCGTGGCACGCAATGGGGCGTGCTGATTGGCCGAGGCAAAGAACTTCCGTCCAATAAGAAACGCGCTGATAGTTTTCCTCTAACAGTCTCTCCACGTACCAGCGGAGAAAACCAGGCAGCTGCTGGAAAATAGAGATAAAAGTGAAGTTGGAGTAATTCATTAAGTCCCATAAATGTGTTTTAGTCTGAATTTTTAAGCCAATCGCTGTAAATAAATATTATTTTCTCATGAATTTTGTTTCCAGCTCATTATTCTGATAAACGGTCACTTACAACATTAAAAATAGGAACCACAAGTTTCCTCACAAAACGTTTCCCAATTATAATCGGTGTTAATGAAACACTAAAACACTCGCTTGTGTTTCTCTGCCCTGCGGCTACATTATAAATCTTGACTTCAAGCCACAAACAGTCGCTTATGTCTGGTGCCAGCTCTTCTTCTGGTCACATCTCTGCAGCAGTTACCGCACATTCCCGACATAATTCCGTTTCCAGCTGAACACATCTGAGAATGAAAGCTTTGTCAGGAACAGACGTTTCACGCTGGAGGAACTGGACGTATGGGGAGCGGCCTCCTCTGTCCGGAACATCATCTCCAAAACACGTGCGTGACCTCCAAGTTGTTTCCACCCCGCGGCCTCGTACACCAGCACGGAGTGTACACCTCCACAAAGTTACTTCGGGGGGGCTAAAGCCAGCCTAGTGATGCGCGCGCGCACACACACACTTTTGATTTCTCTGCCCTCTGACGTCACAGCAGGTATTTTTCTGCTACTGCACGTAACTCTTGGACATCAACAAAGCTAAAAAAAATCAGTTTAAAGTTATGTCTGCATTAAAACCAACATTTGGGCTTCATTTGTTTCCTTTTATAAATATAAATTAGTTCAGATGCATGTTTTGTAACTTTATAATATCTGATGGTGCCACCTTGAAAAAGAGTTGTTAAATAATTTCAAAGTAAAAGCAGATGGGTTTATTTTCATCTTGACTGAGCTGAAGTTAACTTGTCAGATGTGTGAATTTTATTAAAGTGCATTTGTTTACATTTTTACGAACTTGTGGGCATCATTTAGACCAAACGTCTCCATGAGTTTCTGATTCGGATGCATACTGAGAAGATGCAGAGGGTCATGCATGTGCTGTTCACCTGTCCAGGTGTAGCCTCCTGAAGAAGAGATCATTGATGAGAACAAAGTGGTTGAAGATCAGACCAAAGAACAGAAATCAGTTAGGACATCCCTAAACATGCGAGCTAACTGGATTAGTACATTCCTCCAAAGCTTTTGGAATGTATGTGTGTGTGTGTGTGTGTGTGTGTGTGTGTGTGTGTGTGTGTGTGTGTGTGTGTGTGTGTGTGTGTGTGTGTGTGTGTGTGTGTGTGTGTGTGTGTGTGTGTGTGTGTGTGTGTGTGTGTGTGTGTGTGTGTGTGTGTGTGTGCTGTTCATATAAATATTGTATGCTTTACTCTATCATTCATTCACACCCTGATGATGATGAGCTACATCGTAGCCACAGCTGCCCTTGTGAGGCGAAGTTGCCAAGCAAGGGCACAGTCCTCCAGACACCACCAGCAGGGTTGTCCGAGGACACAACAGCAGAACATGTCCGGAGCCGGGATCGAACATGCAACCTTCCGTTTGACTCCTGAGCTCATGCTGCCCCTTCGGATGTGGATCCTTTGTCCGTCTGCAGTCACATTAAGTAGATATGTAACTTTTTAATGGTGCAGTGATTTGTTTTTACTGGAGATATTTTCATGTTGTCTCATGAATTATGATGCTGTTCTTTAGTGCAGGAATCCCACACGCGCAACTCATCAGACCTTTGTTAACACTGATGGTAATAAATCATGATCATAAGGATGATAAATAACTGATAATAATACATTAATAATCAATGCTTGACACTCAGCTTAAAGGGGTTGGATCGGGGGGTTAAACCACGAAATAGATCCCGCGCGCGGCCACACCTGCTGCTCACGGCTCCCGCGGGATGGCTCAAACGCAGAGATGTCATTTCACCATGATGATGACTAATGGGACTTTAACTTTAATAAGTGTGTGTGTGTGTGTGTGTGTGTGTGTGTGTGTGTGTGTGTGTGTGTGTGTGTGTGTGTGTGTGTGTGTGTGTGTGTGTGTGAGTGTGTGTGTGCGCGCGCGCAGCGCGCGCTGGAAGGGGGGAGGGTCCATCATTCCCCCTTATTTACAGCAAGGACATGTCTTTAGATGGAACCCAAATGAAAGATCGCAGGAGACAAAAGCTTCAAAATAGCAGAACTAGCAGGGGTCCTTCACCTGCTGGGTGTAGTTCCCAAACACAATCCTGCAGGTTTCCGTCATGACTTCAGGGAGAGGAGATGCTGAGGACTTAAATCCAGTCGCATTTAAACAGATACACCGGTTTAGATGGACGGACACGGTGGAGAGAACTAAAGGGGGGAGACGTCACGCTCTGACGGTCATTTTACTGAAGAATTATCTAAGAGGGAAAACTCAAACAGACGAGGCGGTAAAAGGAAACCATGATGGTGTGTGTGTGTGTGTGTGTGTGTGTGTGTGGGTGGGTGGGTGGTGGTGGTGGTGGGGGGGGGGTGATCCACGATGCAGCGACACCGAATCCCCGTGTCCAATCCATTACCGGGGAACGAAATTCAAAGTCAGAGAACTCTCCTGATGAGAAATAAAAGAGTTACATCACATGGTCACGTGTAGGCCAGTGAGGAACAAGCACGTGCCAAATCTAATCAGTTCCCGCAGGCAACTAATGGAATGCAACGAATTTGATGCAAAAAAAATAAAAAGTTTAGTGTAAATACTTTTACCCCCGTGGATTTGACTCGTCTGATTTTGGTGTGTTTTATTTTTTCTGTACCAAACTGGAAGCATCAGGTCAAAGCGGTGAACGATGCAGGTGTTATTCTGGTTGCTGCACGTGAAGAGCGGCCTTTGTTCTGAAAGAGGTGGTCCTTTCTGCAGAACCGGTACCTCCGATGTGGGCTTTATTACTGTGGAGTTCTTTTGTCCCTGGAGTTATAGGGAAGTATTAACATCACAGAAACGTTGCTATGGGTCGCAAAGCAGAAGTCTACATTTCCTCAGTAAAAGTAGACTTATCAGAAGGAAAAATAAACGTGTTCTTCTGTGAAACTGAAAGAAAGTTTAACGCAAAGTTATGGAAACACTAAATAATATTATAGCTTTGTGTGACAGATCCTATTTTCTTTAATTATTATTGAAAAAAAGTTCAACCATGTAAATATTTTATTCGATTTCTGTTTCAATATTAGTTTTACTATTTTTTTACAAAATGATTGATCTTTATTAAATCAACGATGAGATTTTTTTTACAATTTTTAGGGGAGGGAAAGTTACACTTGGCCCCATAAATACCCTTCCTCACAACTGGATTCACCTGTGTATGGAGGTCAAAGGTCACCGAGCTTACCAAACCACATTTGAGTTCATATAATTAGATCTAACAGTGCACTAATTTATGCACCTGCCTAATTTTGTTTCAACAGTTATTGCACACCTTCTGTAACTTTGTTCCACTTCTCAAATATCACACGTTATATTTTTATAATCAAATCCAACGATTTACACTGGAAAAGCATGAAGATTAATGATGCTATATAGACACACACACACACACACACACACACACACACACACACACACACACACACATACACAGAGATACATAAATGTGTATTTTCCTATACTTGCTATTATTTTTCTAACAGCCTTAAGGACACATGTATATTTGGTGCTATGATAACATTAACCTAAATAATTAGAAGGAAGAAAAATAATCTCGTTTCTGAGTCAAACTGGTTTTGGTCAAAAACATTCTAGACTGGCCCAGGTTTGACGTGGTGGACTAACAGTGTGTGTTTTGTCTGCTCGGCTGTTGGTTCATGACAGCAAATCTTAATCTGAGCTTCATTTAAATCTACTAAAAGGGGGTTCTGGTCTGGATGTGGAGGACTAATAGAGCCTAGTCTGTGATATCAGGGGCACATTAACATCCAGCCATGTTTGCCTTTCATTAGCCTCGCTCCAACACACGTTTACACAAGCAGGTCTGCATTAGAAACGGAACCAGGTTGACTCCAGGGAGGGATTTCAGGGCTTGTTGTCCTTACACAGCATGTAGTTGCACGAGTGATCCAGCAGGGGGCAGGTGTGATGCACAGCAGGGGGCTGAATCTGTCCAGTTGGATCAAACTCAGCTTGTTATGTAAGAGCAGAGGATGATAAAAGCTCCGCGAGCTGTTATCTCCTCATGTAGGAGACAAATGATGGAGGCAGCTGGTGTCCATGTTCCCTTTATTACTGAAACGTGTTTCCGTCTGTGAAGCAGCAGAGCGCTCCTGTGTGCAGATACAGCTACCGACAACCACAGATTTTCATAAAAACAAACACTGTAGCTTCTCAGAAATAAATACAACAAGCTTACATTGGTCAAAGGTTTTTACCCCGTTACTTGTGTCAAATAAGAGGTTGAAAGTGCATCGTATCGAAGCAGGGAAAGGGTTCAGCAGGATGATTGTAGGCTATCACACTGACCACAGATCAGTCCAAACCACGAGTTAGAGAGGTGATGACTAAAAACATTAAACATTCAGCATCACCGCCGCCTAACTGTCCAATAAGTGCTGCAACTTCAAGTTTAGATCCCTCAGAAAGCTTGGACATATTTAGGCCCGTCACAAGTAAAAAGGCTGAAAGTTGACCGAAGCTGATTTAACTGAAATCTGAACAGACAATCAGAAATAGGCTCACCCCTATTTGTGTGGTTCAACTTCATCTTCATGTTGTCTTTATTCATTTAGAAATTTTGTTTTTTAATTTTGAATAATTTATTTTTACATAAGCCTAAAGCTACTTCTTGTTATTTGACAAAGCCAAGGGCTTAAATATGGGACAAACCCTGAGCTGCTTGTGTCCCCCGCAGGTGAGGGACCCGAGCAGCTCATAGGTTTGTGCTGCTGTCTAATCTGAGACTCCTGGTAATCCCAGAGAGAACAGGGGGACTCTGATTGTGTCCCTCAGCTGCAGGATTCCCATCTATGGCTTTGAAGAGAAGTGGAAGCAGGCCGTCCTTCTGTGGAGGACGTGGAAACAGGTGTAAAAAGGTGCTGAAGATGGGGAAACCCTGTTAGTAAATGAGTCCAGGATTCGGATGACACTGAAGGTTGATGACTCCATAAGGCGAGGCACATAAAGACACTCCGCCCCCCTCACTAAAACACCTGCAGAAACCAAATGTGCACAAAACACAGGTTGAAAACCACAAGCTGTGTGTGTGTGTGTGTGTGTGTGTGTGTGTGTGTGTGTGTGTGTGTGTGTGTGTGTGTGTGTGTGTGTGTGTGTGTGTGTGTGTGCGTGTGTGTATGTGTGTGTGTGTGTGTGTGTGTGTGTGTGTGTGTGTGTGTGTGTGTGTGTGTGTGTGTGTGTGTGTGTGTGTCCCTAAAGAATAATCACACTCCAACACGTTACTGTGAAATATGTACATGCGTAGAAATGCACCGATTCTGGTTATTAAGGGCCGATACCAATTTCTGATGCCTGCACAGCTCTGACCCAGTGCATTTTAATCTGGGCCTTTCCACCAGACACGTAAGCGTCGCGTAACCTATGCAGAAATTAGCCACTGTTATAGTGGATGGGTGTATTTCCACCGGCTGCTAATCGTTGTGTTTTGGACAGGTTCAATAGAAGGGTAGGTACGTTGCACTTCAAGTCAAACAGAAAGTCAAACATGAAAGCAGTGAAAAAAACCTCCAGAAACTTTCAATATAAAAGTCACGTGCAGATTTCCAGTTGCTCAACTATTAAAATAATGGTCATCATTACCTGTGAAACTTCTGTAGCCACGGTTAGCGAAACAGAAAATAAACCACAGACCTTTCGGATACATGCTGCCATCTTTCTCCTTGTTATCTCGCGATCTGCGTGTGATGTTGGGTCATTTCGTGACCTCGCAGGACCAGCTGCATGGAACGCTTTCGCTGTCGCTTCCGGTGGGAATGGGAGCTCGTAAAACACGTCTATACGTTACGCGCCGCTTACACGTCAGTGGGAAGCCAGGGTAAGAATATTAACTTGGAACACTTTCGTCTGATTAGGATTATCTGAAGGTCTGTGAGAGCTAACATGAATTAGCACTTGCACAGACAAGGAAATGCCAGATTTTTTACGCTGCATGGCAATGACACGTTCGTTGAAAATTAAAAAATAAACTGATTTCTGAACTTCTCGTCAGCCATGTTGTTGGTGCATCTCTACTTTGCAGCTTATAGAAGGACTGAGATCAAATCTCCATCTAAATCGAGTCCCATCAGATAGAGAGAACATCACCAAAGACCAGTGCTGTTGTTGGGTGGGTCCTGATGGGTGGTTAGCCTATCATACAGTGGTGAAGGTGCAGGAAATGTCTGTTATCCTAAATAGAGGAGGAAAACCCTGGAATAAACACTTCCCAGAAGGCCTGAGGGTCCAGATGTCCGCTCAGCTTCAAGTTCAAGTGCATTAACTCTGAGATGGTGGCGGCCATATTGCTCCAAACACGAAGGCCTTTGGGTGTTTGCTATACTCATTAAAGGCCATCTGGGGCGAGAGTTCTTCTACAAAAGGTAAAGAGAGCAGGAGAAGCAGTCAGGCTGCACAGGACCACCCCGCCCCCCTCAGGCGTTCCTCCGGGAGGTGCTGGTGGCGGACAGGCGGCCCGTCTCGTGGTCCGGTCTATATTTGAGCCAGCAGATGAGCCAAGTGACGACCACCGAGAACATGGCCAGGATGCTGGCGACCGAGAGGCAGATGGGTCCGGCCGGTGAGGGCGGGATGCTGTGACTGTGCACAAAGATCAGGCCCATGAAGAGCAGCACCAGCATGGACAGGAAGGAGAAGATCACGCACACGCAGCCGGTGGTCAGCGCCACCCTCTTGCAGCTCTGACAGCTGTCGTAGCGCACCGAGTCCTGGGAGAGGGTCGTGGCTGTGGACACGGTGGTGGACGGGGTCGCCTGGCTGGCGCTGGACGCGCCCGACGCTTCCTCCCGGCGGAGGGCCACGAGAGCCGGGTGCAGCGGCGCGGGGTACGGCGGCAGGGCGTCCTGCGGCAGGGGGTCTGAGTCGATGTAGAGCGGGAAATCCTCCGTGACTTTGGTGTTGTTGGGCAGGTTCTGGATCCGGTAGTCCGGGACCGGGGTTCGGTGGCGGCAGACGGGGCAGCTGATGCGCCATGGCCGCTCCTCCCGGAGATGCAGCGTGTTCAGACACTCCTCACAGAACGTGTGTAGACACTCCAGGATCTTCGGAGCCCGCCGGTCAAGGTCGAAGTAATTATAACAGATTTTACATTCGTACTCCTCGTAGGGGAACGCCGAGGAGGCCTCGCCGGGCGGTTCCGCTCCGCTGGACGGTAGATCTACCTCCATGTCATCTCTCGCCATTCACGGTCTCCGGTGAAAACAAAGGGAGCTGGCGGACAGATGCTGATGACGGTGCACGTCTCTCCCCCTCCCCCTCCCTCCCCTCATCAACTTTCATTCAAACGCCATCATTGTTGGGGTGAATAATCCCGTCTGCTCGGTCCAAAGCGCCAGGATCCCGGGTGGAGGTTCTGGTCTCAGCGGGGAAGGGTGGTGATCTTCCTCCTCATCATCACCAACCGGAGTCTGAGCGCTACAGGCGGAGGACGAGTCGCCAGAGCGAGTCCCGTTGGAGCGCGTGTTGTTGTCTGCGCTGCAGACCTGGTGCGCGTTACGCTGTGTGCGGGATGCGCTCATTCGGACCGTCATCATCATCATCATCATCATCATCATCATCATCATCATCATCTCCTTAATCAAATGACATCAGAAATTTACTGAATTCAGATTAAATGGGTCCTAAAGGACATCGGCTGAGTCCGTTCATGCAGCTTTATTTATAAGCAGATTAAATCAACATGGATCCTCATAAATCCACTTCCTGTAAAAATAAAAAGAGTTCAGTCTGAATAAAATTAAATTAATTGCTTCACCTTCTGAGATGGGTCAGATGGTGTCTGTCACTGCAGGCATGAGACAGGAGACACAGCCTGGCAGGCTGACGGTCTGTCAATAAAATAAAAACAGCTCTCTAAGTTCCCGCCCTAGGTTGAATTTGGTGCTGCTAGCTGGTCAGCGTGGGAGGATGCTTGTTCATCCTGCAAAAGACTCAATCATCACTAAGATCTGTTTCTACTGCAGGACTGGGACATTTGTCCATATTTCAGTGTCCACTTGAGTGTTTTAATAGAGCTCTGATGAGGTATCTCCATCAATGGACATGTCTTCATTTGAAGCAACACGTCCCCAGATGTGAGGCAGCAGAAGCAGCTGGATGGTTTGTTTAGGAGAAAAGCTGATAAGATGCACTTCAAAGTTAAAGTCGACTCAAAATAATCTTTTAAATGGCAAAGTCACCAAAATCAGACTGAAGATTGTAAGAAGGAATGCAGAAAATGACACAAACCTCCCGCATGTTTACATCTTTCCTTTATAAATATTAAGGTGTCATTGTCATGGGACGAAATTTCACTGGCCTCCACGCTAAAAGAACACATTGTTGTATACAGTTAACGCTCGGTGATGTACAGCTCTTAAATCCTGTTTCTTCACTAGCTGAGGTCAAAGTTCACTCCTGACAGAAAACAAGATCCACCTTAAGGGATGAGTTTTAACAGCAGAGTCAGTATTTTAGGCATGAAAATCGAATTTGAGCATAATAATTTCACTTAGCTGTAATGTGTAGTCTTTTAATTGTCCACTCAGAGGGAGAACATATAGACTGACTCAGAAACATGTTTATGAAAGACAAACTAATAATGTTTACAAGAGCCCTGAGAGGGTTTCTATCAACACCCACACACAGGTTCAAGTCCTCTCTGACCTTCACCACCTACATTTTTCATGTCACAGATCCATCAAGCTGTTGTAAACGTTCCTCACAGGTTCTGGTCCATCCATGATGAGAACCTCCCATATACATCCCAAAGGTTCTGGGGCCTCGTCTATCAAGCTTGCTTTCGCACAAAACAGGGTCGGAAAACTGCGTAAGCAACTTTCCACGCAAACTTTGGGATTTCTGAAAGACAACTTAGTGGAAAAATGTGCGCAACTTTAAGTTGACTAAGGACCTTGCATACACACATGTTGGACATGGAGAGCACCCACGGACGTAATTGTCACTTTAGAAGTGGAGGGGACCCGGGGGAGGGGGGGGGGGGCTTTGTTCTAATGGGAAGCAGGCTTCAACACAAACGGTTGTTTTCCGCTTGGTCCTAGAGCTCAACCAGTGTCAATTTAACATAGCGTAATGTTTTTAGATGGTAAAAAGTGCAGGGGTCAAAACTTTTCTTTGGAAAAAGAGGGGGGGGGGGGGCATCTCCCCCCCCCCCCCCAAATTACATCCATGAGCGCCTGCAGTGCTGCTGCTGAGAAGGATACAATTATGAAATCCTGCAACATTTTCACTTGTACTGCTTTGTGCGCACACGCACACACGCACGCGCACACACACGCACGCACGCACACACACACAGGCACACGCACGCACACACACACACAGCCTGAAGCGCAGAACTGTGACCCGATTGATCATGCGCCCTGGCTACTTCGACAAAAGGGATGTCTGTTTGGGTGACTGGTTAGTGCCCGTGACTCACCCGGGAGTCTGGGGATCAAATCTTGATCAAACATTTTTCTTACATCCGCCACAGATCTCTCTGAAGAACTCACAACATTGACGGCTTCAGCAATGCTGTGCCACCAGGGGCGGCGTTAGGCCCGGCTACTTGGGCTGAAGCCCCGGATCTTTCATAATAAGCCCCGGATGTAAATCGCGGAAGTAACATGCAGTACCAAAGTCCAACAGAGAGGGCGCAGCTGGCAGTAGTTTGTATACAGCCTGCCTGAGCCTCCACCACTGAAGAAGAAGCCCTTCAGCAGCCGGCTTCTTCTACAGTCTCTACCTGAAACGCATGAGTGAAGATGGACATAAGGACGTTTTTTAGACCAAAAGTACAACGACAGAACCCCAGCTTTGATGAGACTGGTGCTGACTCAGGTTTGTGAGTCTTATTTGAAAATATTTGTTGTGCTGCTGGTTTGCCTAAAGTTAGCTTACTATCAGGTAAAGTTGATGGAGAAAGAAAGGGAATATTTACTATCATCTCACACTAAACACTAACAGGAACAATACTCTGCCCTGAATATGCTTAATATGTAGCTTCAGATTAAAAATTATGTGGTACAAGACAAATATATATGATGTTGACTAGTGCGTGTCACGTGTGTGCGCGCACCTGTGCGCGCGCGTGTGTTAAGCCCCGGATCTTCTTCAGTCCTAAATCCGCCCCTGTGTGCCACTCTGTGGATTTTCTCTTATTTGTTTTGCAAAAGCGCTTGCTTTCATTTCTCCACCTCACCCACAAGCACCTCCATTTCTGCTTGTGAAACAGCGCTTCCTTGATTTGTGGCCATGATCTTAATGGTGGAGCGCTGCAACGAGCCGGCTTATGTACATGCATGAGATCCACAACGAACTTTGCATTGACCATTTATGGCAGTAAGTGGGCGTGGTGAGGGTGGGATGTGACTCAGAAACAGCTGAGAAACATTCTCATTAGTCTCTGATTTATGAAGCGGAAGTTGCGTGCAGCTGAGTGTACTCCATGTTTGATAGATCACAAACCTACGCAAGTACATTTTTGTGTTTGTTGAGCTAAAGTACGGTTTTGGTAAGGGTTCTATGCAATGTTCGATAAATGAGACCCCTGGACTGGACTGAACTGTGGAGGTCATTGGAGTCCAATTAACTCATGGTCATGTTCTAGAAACCAGTTAGAGTGTCTGTGCATGATCCTGCTGGAATAAACTTCAGAAGATGGGCCAATGAAAGGGATGGATCAGCATCAGGTGGAACTAAAGCTTGGTTCATGCGTCATTTTAACAACCACGCCCCTCCACCGCGCCTCCGCTCGGCCCAAACTTTCCGCACCGCGCACCTAGGAAATTTTCTAACCACGCGGACGGTCGGACACGTAAAAACATAGCAGACTGGCAAGAGCTAGTATGGCAGAGGTTCGTAAATACAGACAATTGTATGATTCAGCTCTCAGAGCGTGATCAACGTGTTGTTAATAATTCTTGGAGAGAAATAGCTCGCACTGTCGGAAAAGACGAGGACGCTGTTAAAAATGCTGGAATGTTGTAAACAGTAATTTCTACTTCTACTAAGGTGTAGTGTTGGATGCATGCCGTAGAGCTCCATGCTGCCCCCTACAGTTTGGGAGAATATTGGTTCACCGCAGAGACGAGCCGCATGAACCATAAACGCTGCGAGTTGTGAAGCGCGTTCCATCCGCGAGCCGCATCACCAAACGGAAAGTAAATGCGTCAAGCATAAACCAAGCTGAAGGGATCCAGAGTGGGACACTATCCTCTCCCCCATCATTACACCACCAGCAGGGCCGGACCTGGCCCGCGGGCCGCCTATTGAGTACCGCTGTTTTAGATGGTCTCTCAGTCTGAGCTTGATTACTGACATGAATAGACTTTTGCAAAAGATTCTTGTTTTTCCTGTTCCAGTTATATTTAATCTGCTGTTGGCTTTTTTCCAGTAATCTAACCTGACATCAACAAGACATTTTCATTCACATGGCTGCTGCTAACTCGACTTTCTTGTTCTTTGTTTTTCAGATTATTCTCTGTAAACCTGGAGGTGGTTGTGGGTTGAAATCCCAGCAGATCAGCAGGTTCTGAAAGACCAGCCCGTGTGATACCAACAACCGCTGAATCTTTAACAAGTCACTTTCATCACTTTTAGATGATTGAATGAATGAAAGGGGCAAATGAGTGTGCTTTGAAATGCAAGTATGAGTGGGATTTTCTAAAAGGTGACTGAAATTCATTTGTTCTTTTCATGAGGAGCACCTCTGGTCTGGCTGAGCCTGCTGGCTCGGTTTACAGAATCAGAGCCTTAAAGTTTTTGCTCTCTTTTCTGTCCCACATGGTCAAACAAACTCAACACACTTAAATGATAAAAATAATTAAAAATGTCCGCAGAAATGTTGTTCAAGTTCATGCATTCATTAACTTTGTGTCGGTGTGGTTCTGGACCATCAACCAGGTGACTTTTTGTTGCACTTTAACACGTTAAACCACCTCAGGTTCCTGCGTTCAGAAGCCGGTCCTCGCTGTGCGGCTGCGCATGCGCCATGCAGGTGTAAAGGTCGCACTGATCTACAGGTAGAGCCACTGTGGCCCCGCCCCTCCTGAGAGCAGCCGCACCTTCCCGCCGCGTGGTTCCTCCATCTGCGCAGATCACCCGCTGTCATTTTCCATGATCTCATCTGGACTCAAACCCTCGGCTCCTCCAGCTCTTCCAGCTCCTTCGCCCATCCTCAGGACCACCTGACATGCTGCAGCTCTTGGAGTATCTGCATGACCCGGAGCTCGTGGCCCGGTTCCAGAGGCGATGCGGACTCTTCCTCGTTGAGTCTGTGAATGGAGCCCCGGTTAACGGCGAGAAACCACGCGGAGCCCCGGGAGGAAGATGGGAGCACCAGGACAGCAACTCCAACTATCAATACAAGCAGAGTGTATGCGCTGATGTAAGTCCTTAATGACTCAAACACAAAGTAAACTCGGGCTAATGAGGTAAAACAGGAACCAACGAGACTTCAGTGAACAGGGTTATTAGCATTTAGTTCCCAAAACAAGGAATAAAAGAACAAATGTACATTTTGCACACGTGTTTAACATTTTTACATTATTTCCTGCATAAAGTCACTAAAACACCGATTCAGAGCTTCAGATCTGTTTTGAGATTGTAGACTAACAAGGTGCAGCTGGCTTTTCCCGTTTGTCTGGTGTAGTTTCCTCACGTGCAGCTTCCTCAGACGGAAAACAAACACTTTGGTAAAAATATATTCCCTTCACACCTTTTCCCAGGAATCTTAAGGAATATAAACACTCATGAGTAACATGAAAGGCATGAACGGTATTTCCTCCCTCTGGGATTTCTGTAGTTTTAGTTTTGTTAAATCACAGTTAGACAACGTGTTTCATGCAAAATGCAACATTCAGTTTTCACAATGATTTCTGTGCTAAACAAACCAAACCAACCTGGCCTGATGAGAAAAGCTACTCGTGTCTGTCGTTAAATCTGAAATAACTGACGGACCGTTATTTATGATGGACCAGGAACTAAGCTGGAAAGCAAGGCTGTCGATGTACCAGTTGATCCACCCCTCAGTCCTCACCTACGGTCACAGGCTTTGGGTAATGACTGAAAGAACAATATCGTGGATCCAAGCGGCCAAAATGAGTTTTCAGTGGAGTCAGTTGAGGTGGTTTGGGCATCTTGTTAGGATGCCTCCTGGACGCCACCCCAGGGAGGTGTTTCAGGCATGTCCTGCCGGCAGGAGGGCCCCTGGTCGACCCAGGACACGTTGGAGAAAGTACATCTCTGAACTGGCCCGGGAACGCCTTGGGGTCCTGCCGGAGGAGCTGGTGGAGGTGGCCGGGGAGAGGACGGTCTGGAAATCCCTAGTTGGGATGCTGCCCCCGCGACCCGGACCCGGACAGGCAGAAGAAGACAAGAGACCATTATTTAGAAACCACTAACCACACCCAGACCTAGGACTAAGGCATGACTTTAATAGAACCTGTCTGACAACATAAAATTTGCTAAAAGATCTCAAAAAGTTACATCTCACGCCCTGTTCTAAAGAAACTAAAGAACCCCGAGCATCGAAACCCCCTCAGGTCAGAGGTCATGGTTCAAAAAGGAAGCATCTCACATTTATAAAACCTGGATGACCCCAAAGATTCTGAGTATTTATTCTGCGGACTGACGTGACAAAAGCAGAATGTTCTGGAAGCTGCGCGTCCCGTTCCATCTGGAGTCAAACTAAAGCAACAGCATCGCCATAGCAACAGTCGGTGATGGTAGTGCTCCTCTGCTGCTTCAGGACCTGGACCACCTGCGGTAACTGATGGAACCATGGATTCTGCTCTGTAAGAAGATCCTGTAGGAGAACATCTGACCTTTGACCTCAGATTGTTACACTATCATCTTCTTTTTGTAATTACTTGTTTTTTTTAATCTTCGGCTGACGTGTTTTGGCCGGAACGTCCGCCTTCATCAGAGCCACCAGCTGTTCGTGGCGTCGCTGCAGTTTATGTGTGGGCAGCAGAGAACGATGTCGCCCCCTGCATCCTTCCTGCTGATAACGCCGTCCCATGTGTGACCCTACGTGTAAACACCGTCGTCTTGGCTCGTGGTGTTACGTCTGCGTCTCCTCATCTCCATTGCTTCCTCAATCCATCTTCTGACGAAGGCGCAAGTTCGGGCCTAAACATGTCAGCCGAAGGTAAAAGACATCTAATTACTGCTCTGTGTTGAAAAGGACAAAAGAAGATGATTATGAATCGACACACAGAGCGGATGTACAGAAGAGTTTACAGGTTGTTACACTGTTATATCCAGTTAGTGAGTTTAGAAGTCACTTACTGTGAAACGCGTTTGCTCATCTAAAACATTAGAGTGACAAAAACAGTCAAACAGAAGAAAGAGCTCTGTGGGGAACGCCGTATACACGTCCTGAGGTACGATGTAGTTCAGATGTCTGCAGCAGATGTTGAAATGACTGTAAACCTAAAGCTCAATCGCTGGATGGTCTGATGGATCTGACCTCTTCTGTTATTAATCCTGGTTTGGTTCGTACTGATCTGTCTTTGTGTGTCTGCAGAAGATCAGCAGACCTCAGTACGAGGTGAGAAACTGGCCCCTGCACTTCCTCTTCCTGCTCTCAGCCAGCCTGGGTAACGAGGTGTTTTACATCACCTGTCTTCCCTGCATCCACTGGAATCTGGATCCCTTCCTCTGCCGCCGCCTCATCAACATGTGGACTGTGAGTCAGAGCCCTGGTGTGTGTGTGTGTGTGTTTGTGTGTTTCACTCTTCACCTCTCAACTTCTTTTCATGACCCCCCCCCCCCCCCACACACACACACACACACACACACACACACACACACACACTCTGACACCAATAAGTCCATATATCCCCAGGCCTGGAGGGGACTGGAGACAGCCTGACCAGGATCCTTGACGAGGACATCCAGGTGTCCTTTGGATGTTTGTTCTGACTGAGTTTCACTCATATGACCACTGTGTTTGAGAACATGTCACACAAACTTCTTGAAGGAGTCTTTGTGACCCTTTCGGGGAGGCGCCCTCAGTCCTTCAGACAGTGTGTAGCATAAGAAAACCAAACTATTGCCTGAAGTCAGCTGGAGCTTGTTGTTTAAACACCTTAGTCTGGCTGAAGGCGACTGAATCGAATCCAGCTGTGTCCGGTTGGACACTTAGTCTCTATGCGGAGTATTTCTCTTATCTGATGGCACCATCTAGTGGCTGACAAGCATATCACACAAATAATTTCTCCTTTCATTTTTTTAAGATGGCGACTTCACATTTCTGTTTATAAATGTGCTTCTGTAGCCGACAAACAGAGCTAAAACTCGTTGTTTTATGAGTATTATACTCATGTCATGTTGTGTTCTCATATATTTATATTTTAGAGACTTTCTTGTCTGTGAAAAGTTCATCAACTCCGCATCAGCCGAGGTATTCCTTAAATGTGAAGCGTCTAAAGCCGGGCGTACACTGTGCGACTTTTTCACTTTTTTGAGCCGATTTTCCAGTCGTGTGAGAATCCACGACATCGGGGCGAGTTTTGCGCTGAGCGTCGTGTAGTGTACAGGGGGTTACGAGAGGCGATTAACACCACGTGTCCAGCTACCGATCAGCAATCGTGAGCTCGCACGGACTTCTGGAGTGTTTAATATTTTGCTCGTCCCTCGTGAGGGTATCGCACTGTTGAAGCGGCGCTGCGAGCAGCTGCGACCCAAAAAGTATCAGAACCGCTCACGGCGCATTCGCCATCCTGCATCAACACCGCTCCCCGCTACTTCCCTAATAACACACGTTGTTCGTTTTTGTTTCTACACATTTTTTTTACTCACAAAGATTGTCAAGAAAGCGTGTTTGTCGTGTTCATGTCAAATTAAACTGATCACAAAACACAGATTTACGTTATTTCGTTTTACTCATCCAACCCCCATAAATCCCCGTGTGTCCTCCTGCAGCACTCCCGAAGGACAACAGGCAAAACAAGACAAACAAGTCTGACGTGTTGAGTAAAAACTGCTACTTTTAGCATATTTTTAGGGCCGACGTGTTGCTACCAGATCGCTGTCAGATCGCATCCGAGAACTGGGTCGTACAGTGTGAACGCATGACTCGTGAGATCTGCCCTGCAAGGAAGTTGTACAGTTTGAGCTGAAGCTGAGTGCTACGAGTGAAAAAGTCACACAGTGTACGCCCGGCTTAAGCGGTAGTTTAACGCCATTGGTTAGTTTTGGTCGACGCTCAGTTTCCTATTGCACGGAGTTCCGCAGGGCAGGGAACATGCTTAGCAAAAATAAAAAATAAAAAGACGTATTGCTTACATTATATCACAGTACATGATAAGATAATCACTTTTACGGATTACTGAAAAACCATACATCATTTCTGAAAGGGAGAAACTCTGGAAAGCTAATTTCACTTCTAATAACCAAATAAGCTATTGTTGTCGTCCATTCCTTCAGCCATTGTGAACGTCCTGCTTTCCCGCGGAGTCACTCCCACCAGTATTTGTGTTGCTGTGAGCTAGGGCTGCAACAACAAATTGATAAAATCGATACAAATCGTTGAATAAATGTGTTGGCAACGCATTTCGTCATCGATTTGTTGTGTTGTGCAACTTTTTTTTTGTGTTGCACAACATTAACACTCACCTAAAGGATTATTAGGAACGCCTGTTCAACGTCTCCTTAATGCAGTTATCTAATCAACCGGTCACATGGCAGTCGCTTCAATGCATTTAGGGGTGTGGTCCTGGTCAAGACAATCTCCTGAACTCCAAACTTAATGTCAGAATAGGAAAGATTTAAGCTAGGTTGAGCATGGCATGGTTGTTGGTGCCAGAGGGGCCGGTCTGAGTATTTCACAATCTACTCAGTTACTGGGATTTTCACCCACAACCATTTCTAGGGTTTACAAAGGATGGTGTGAAAAGGGAAAAACATCCAGTATGCAACAGTCCTGTGGGCCAAAATGCCTTGTTGGTGATAGAGGTCAGAGGAGACTGGACCGACTGATTCAAGCTGATAGAAGAGCAGCTATGACTGGAATAACCACTCAACCGAGGAATGCAGCAAAGCATTTGTGAAACCAAAACACGCACAACCTGGAGGCGGATGGGCTACAGCAGCAGAAGACCCCACCGGGTACCACTCATCTCCACTACAAACAGGAAAAAGAGGCTACAGTTTGCACCAGCTCACCAAAACTGGACAGTTGAAGACTGGAAAAATGTTGCCTGGTCTGATGAGTCTGATGAGAACATGGCTCCATCATGCCTTGTTACCGCTGTGCAGGCTGGTGGTGGAGGTGTAATGGTGTGGGCGAAGTTTCTTGGCACACTTTAGGCCCCTTAGTGCCAATTGGGCATGGTTTAAATGCCACAGGCTACCCGAGTATTGTTTCTGACCATGTCCACCCCTTCATGACCACCATGTACCCATCCTCTGATGGCTACTTCCAGCAGGATAGTGCACCAAGTCATGAAGCTCCAATATTTTCAAACTGGTTTCTTGAACATGACAATGAGTTCACTGTGGATGTACAAGATGCTATCCTATCAATATGGGCCAACATTTGTAAAGAATGCTTTCAGCACCTTGTTGAATCAATGCCACATAGAATTAAGGCGGTTCTGAAGGCAAAAGGGGGTCAAACACTTTATTAGTATGGTGTTCCTAATAATCCTTTAGGTGAGTGTATTTATGCGAGCAGTTTAAGGCGGTAACAGAGCAGACCGAGGCAGATCAGAATGAGAGAGAAAGCCGGTGTTTTGATGAGGAACGACACACTTAGAACAATAAGTTGCTTACTGACGCACCATGTGCTAATCTAGGTGGTGTGGAGGAAAACAGAAACCAGCAAAGACACAAAGGCAGAAACGGTCTGGGATCAAAAGCGGAACTACGGGCAGATTAGCTAATGCTAGCGGGTAGCAGGCTCGAGATCAAGTTTGGTTCCAAAAAAACACGATGGTGGTGAAACTAAGAATATATAAACTCTACAAGCGGAAGAAAATACCACATCACCCTGTTTATTCTTAGCTGTCTGCAGGATTATGGCAAGCCACTGTAGCATGCAATTCATAAACGCGTTTATTTGTGAACATACTTTAAACTGGATTATTACCAAACCATGCATAATAAATATGTCACCATAACATTTTTTGCTGTAGAAATTAAATGATTGTAGCATTTCTAGTAGCTTACCACTGAACATGTTAATGAAAGTTTTACTGATCATAGTTTAATTATGGATATATTTAGGTGGTAGCGTGTAGTTTTGCACACTGTTGAACTGTTTTCTAATCATGTTTTGTTGGTAAACAAAGTAAAGGAAGGAGAATAAAAATGTTTCTCTGGCAGTTAAAAGTGTTCAGTTCCAGTTCAATATGAGTAATGGAGTCGAGAGCCCATCCGATTCATCGATGATCCAAATCGTTTGTTGCAGCCGTACTATAAGCTAACCAGAAGAATACCAGTCTGAAAGGGTGCATGTCACCACCTCCTGTAGCAGTGGAGCGCACTTTGTTCAACAACGCGGTTTTCTAACATACATGTAAACTAGGAAAAAGGCTCCCAGTTGTTTGCTGTTGATCGACTTAGATGAGTGTGAGTGATGTTTCCGTGGCCTTAGTGTGCCCGCCCTGAGCGCCTGGTGGCTGCCCTGCATTTGAACCCCTCCTTTGGAGCCCCAGGGGGACGGGATGCCATTCTTCTGGAATCCAGGCTTCACTGTTCCCTCGTGTGAACTCCTTTTCAAACACACACTTGCTCACACTCCTGGTGTTGCCTGCTAAAACCATTGGCTTCCTTCTAGTTAGACATTACCAGCCCCCCCCCCCCCCCCCCCCCCTCCAGACCCAGCCATGATTTTATTGGCCTCCTCGCCGTTGGAGCCTCCTCTCTGTGGACTGAGCCGTTTGTTCTGTCAGCCCTCGGGGCATATCACCCTGCTCCTCCACAGCGCCTCGGCTTAGTGCCGGTGGAGTTCCAGCTGAGGTTACGGTTGACTGACGGAGACACGCACACACATTTACACACGTGTCCTTCATTGCTCCTTGCTGGTTTTACTCTGGTCGACTTAGAAAATCTGGTTACGGAGTCACTGTGGCTCGTTGTGAAAATCACACACTGTTTTGTGTGAAATACAAAGTTGTCTTCAAACATTTCCGAACTCGTTGCGAGTCATCTTAGAAGGTTTCAGGCTGATTTAAGATGTTCTGATCTGTGTGCCCTAGTTGTGACAGATTTGAATAAAAAGGCAGTTTTGGGTCAGGAGCTTGTTAGACACCCAAGAACAGCGAATTAGTGGCTGGAGCTGGAATGAAACTGAGGTCGGGGCCTACTCTGTGAGTGTTGAGGGAAATATTGGATGTCGGTTGTTTGTTGGGGCCAGATGATGCTGACTCAAAGCACAATGATCAGAGGATGCGTGATCTGCACCTGGACCAGCATGATCTAGTCATCTTGTTGTCATGTCTCCACAATTAAAGGAAGCTGTGGCAGCTTTGTTGGTCCAGCAATAACTCACAGGCTGCAGCAGGTAAATGCATTTGTCCATCTGTTCGTTCATTTTAATCCACTTACCCGAGTCCGGGTCACAGAGAAGCCCCAGCAGAGAGACCCAAACCACCCTTTCCCAGATCACCAGCAGTATCTTCATGTGTTCCCTGGCCAACGTGGGGATACAATCCCTCCAACATGTTCAGGGTCAACCCAGGG